CATCAATGGCACCATCCTTGCAACAAAACAACATCGAATCAATAAGGTCTTATCCTCAACCTCATAAACTGCACCAGAGATTAAAGCCCACTACACTCAATATTAACAGCAACAAAACCAACAACAACAACAATAATATCAGCAACAATGTTAACAACAACATTATTTTCTCCAACAATAATTGCAACAATCTTAGAGATGTAGTCAACAACACTAATAGTATAATTATTAACAGGAATAATAACAACTCCATCATTAGAGATAGTAACAACAGTAGTTGTTTCAACAATTCTTGTTACATCAGCAGCTCAACAAGCAGTGAACACAACAACAAAACTACCACCACCACCACCACCAAGAACAACACGTTTGCCAAACACAACAAACGCAACATAAACAATACTAACAAACACGTTAGCGCGCTTCTTAATCCGTTCGGCAATAATTTATCAGCCGACTCTCTGCGTTCAAACAATCAAAATCGCAATTGCACACAAGAAAATTGCCGCATAAGTCGAGCTTTCCTGGATAACGATTACGAAAATTCGTCCAATATTTATTGCGCGATGAAAATCTTAAAGGATGCTTCTTCGAAAACTGATTATAAGAATTCTAAATATGACAAGAAAACATGTCATAGAGATGCTACAATCATTACAAATACAAACGAATCGATTGCTGCAAATTTCGTCGATATAACAGAACGGTCGAATAGTTCCGGATACTTGTCGGACGCGAATGACCACGAACGTTTGTGGCATTCAAAATTTGACAGCGGTGAAATTTTTACTGGCACCCCTCTCTCTACTCCTTTGAATGTGAGTGCAGTTGCAGACCAATGTTGCAACAACAAAAAAGTTGAAGCTACTAACAAATCTTACGTCAATGTTTCAGCCATATCAGCAACTTTATTATCAAAGAGTAATCGGCTTAAAAAATTAACGAATGGCTTGGGTATGAAAAACAATTTATTCGAGGAGCAAACAAACACAAATGGTCACTACTACCAGCAGTTATCACCTCAACTCCACTGTCCTCGTCCACAACACTTCCGAAAAGAAGAGTACAACTTGGTTGAGATTCCTTTAAACTCGCCACCTCTAGTTGAAAAACGTCAAAAAAATGTTATACAAACAAACAATGAGTGTGTTGCAAGCATTCAAAGCCTTTCAGGTGGCAGCAGAACAATGGATTTTGCAGGTTTGGAGAGAAAATTGTATCAGTTGCCACGTTCATTTTTGACCGATAGACATCAAATCGAATTAGAAAGCATTCAAGAATGTTCCAATCAATATAAAATGTTTCCTAAAATGGGCAAAACAATTCTCATGAAACGATCCTTCTTGCCAAATTTGTTTAAAAACTTGCCATTAAAACAACTCATAAAGACCATCGAGGACCGTCCCCCGAGCGTTAGATTCGACAGAAGTCGTTCGCTGAAGAGCAGCGGTGACCCTGGCCACCTGCAAGAAGAAAATCTGACGATAAGGAACGTCTTCGAATCTGACGAAAGTAACTTCCCAAATTTCGCTCATCAAAGTTCTGAAAATATCGACAGCGACAAAAATGAGGACCAGGACGGCGATAGTAACGATTCTCGAGACGACTATAACGACGTACAAAACATTTTCGAGAGCGGCAAATGTAGCGGAGAACGTGGCGATGATGATGGCGACGACAGAGTTGAAGCGGAGGGAGAGGAGGAAGAAGAAAACACTTACTGCAAAATAGAGATCCCAAAAAGGAACGCGCTTCTAAAAAAGAACAACTATGAAATGAATAGGAATGTGACCTCATCAGCAACGTCACAATCTACGTCATCAACTCACCTGTACCATCAACGTATCCACAATCATTCTTCCAGTCAGCAAGATCATTATCATAATCAACGAAATATTTCGAAATATAAAAATCTGGCCTACAGTAAGAAAGAAACAAAGAAATCAGGTGACTATGAGAAGTTAGTGATTAATAAACAAAGATATTCCAGCGGAGAAAAATCAAAATATTCGCTGGTTCGCGAAACTCGGTATGCCCCGTTACGCGATGACACGCACATCTCTACCGACCAGCCATCTCTGTCTGGTCCAGCTGACGAGAATAATGTGGTTGACCATGATGACCAGACCACTAGCATACCGAATGCAAGTTGATGAAAATAAAAATACGAAAGACAATTTTATCGTGTAACGTTAGGTAGAAACGCATTATTTATTTATTTATTACTGAAAAATAGACTTGTAAATGCTAATGCTTTCAAAGTGAATTCGTATCACATGGAGGAATAAGGAAATGTTAAAAGGCAAAAAGTACAATCGAGTAATTGTACATACTTATATAAATACATTACAAATGAGAATATGTAAGTACATATAAATATACTGTTGCACATTTATAAACGAATTTACACACACACACACACAAGCACACGTCCGTAAATGTTACTAAATATAAATATAAACACACACACACACAAACACGCAGACACACATGTATAAATACATACAGTAATGTGTGAAATATAATGTGCCAATGAAAGGTTTTTCACGTTCTTGACTGTTGAAACATCCAAAAGCTGCTTTAATTTTGTGCAGTTACGAGAAATCAGAGAAATAAGATCAGGCTTTTCTTACCGAACATGCAAAACAGATCAATCACGGGTAGAACTAGGCATGAATCAATCAACTTGGGTTTATGCTTTATCTATGCTAGACGAAGTTATGCCGAACCCAACCTGCAAAAGTAGTTCTAGAATCTATTCATACTCAGCCCTAGCTCTTACAGAACAAATAAAAACAATTAATATAAAACATGTTCAACATTAAATTGATGAAAAAATATAGAAACATGATAAAGTGCAAAACGTTTATGATGTACCACGTAAGTTTCTTGAACACAATCACACATAGCCAGCTGAAGTGCATAATATTTACTAATTAAATAGATGCTTCTTGCATCACTTACGTTCAAGTACACGTAAGTATATGAGTATATTATAATTTAATAAAGCTTTCTAAATAATCTTTTGTTTCCATTGTTTCAGGAATAAAAACATTCTAAGCAGATCTTATTTTGTTTTATGATACAATAGAAAAACGAAAAAAATGCCTAATTTGTCTGTTAAAATACTAAAGATATGCCGATAAGTGATGTTAATTTTAAGTTTAATAAAATGTAGAAATACAAACGCATATCGTATTAATATGTACGCACACACACGTGTGACCATTATTACATGCACACAAAACGTTTTTTCATACATACACACATGATTTCATGCCAGAAATGCACCGAATAGTGGATTGTATAGAAGGCCGAATAGTTGATTCTCTATTCGGCCGAAACCAAAACCCAAAATCTCGCAATAAATTTATTGCTTAAAATAAAAAACAAGATATTGAAAAATTTATTCATTTTTATATAATTTTTCATCCTGTTTTCAGTTTCTGAGCTCCGATGATGAAAAAATATTTTTTGCTATAAACAATCGAAAATTATTGTCCATGAAGCAAAACAAACGGTGGCTAGAACGGGAACTGCAATAATCGGCCAGTCGGTCTATGAAAATGGCCAAAGCCGAATGCTAAATTTAAGCTGAATATTCGGTGCGTCTCTAGGCCTACGCATACATATACAGAAGATGTCACGTTACAACCTTACGTCGAGACATCTATGATACACACGAAACATTTCATTATCATATAGCACATGTGCGTACAATACTGAACACATCTTACAATCATATTTATCAATAAAATTTCATATTTGCTACAAAAATAAGTAGAAAAATATATAACAAATATTTTAATAGACTGCCGAAACTAGCAAATTTAAATGTTTTTAAGTTAATGTTGAGCTTGTTGAAGTAGATTTTTATCATTCAATCTGTTCCCTTCTTATTATGCAAACATAATGTTCTATTTTTATAACGCTTTTGTATATTTTTATAGAATGCATGATGATGTTTTTGACAGATCGTAATAAAAATTATGTTGAAAGTACACTAGAGTTATCTACGTTCAAGAAGTTAAAAAAATGATATTGGTATAAAACAGCAGACTGACTGAACAATAATGATTGATCGAGGCGATGATTAATAAAATGATTGGTTGATTAGTTGCTTGGTTGATTGCACGAATGAATGATTGATTGAATGAATGATTGCATGAATGAATGATTGATTGATTGAATGGCTGATTAATTGATTGATTTGCTGATTGACTTGTTAGCTAGGTTTGTTCGTAGTGTGAAGCTCTAGAAGCTTGTTTCCTCTCTTCAAATACTCTATCAAAACACTCCCTGAGGTAACGACTCTGTAATATTTTGAAAAGACGACATCATCATCATCAGCATCACAATTATTATCATCCTCATCATCGTCACCATAGTCATCATTACCGTTATATTAACCTTTGCCATTTTCAATCACCATCATCAGCATCATTGTCACTCACATAATCGGAAAATATCTTAATCGTCCTTGGCGATTCACATCCCTTTCTGAAGGTCACACTTAAGTAGAATGGAGGTAGTGATAAAGACGACGACGACGACGACGACAGTGGTGTCGCCACCAGTAACGATGACGACGTCGACGTCGAGGATTGTGACGATGACGATGGCAGCGGTGAAGTAGATATCAGCTCATAATGTTCGATCTCCCCCCACAATAGCACTGCCACGTTTGACTGACAAACCAACAACAACAACAATCAATATCGATACTCCAACGAGGTTAACGAGACAACAAAACACTCACTACTAATCAATGAGACCCAACCTCTAATACGCCATCTTTCGTGCAGGCCATCATCTTGAAGCAGTCGTAGGACACCACGCAGATCACGTGACCCCGTTTCCGGGAGTCACTTTGGCAGTGTGGGAAGGTGACGACTAAGTAGTTGGCCAACGTGCGCAGTGCTTGCAACGTCTTTAGAGTTTGTCGAAGAATTGATTGATTTGTTGATTATTTAGTAAAATGATTTATCGATTGGTTGGTTGATTGGTTGATTGATTGGTTGGTTAGTTGGTTGGTTGATTGATTGATTGAAATTTTGATTGAATGAATAAAAATTGATTTAATTAAAAATCAATCGATTCAAAAAATGATTGAAAAAATAATTTAAGATTTTGAGCTAAATTCTAAAATAGAGATATATTAACAGCTAATCAAAAAACTGGAAGCGATAAAAATAAAAAATCCATTCAACAAATTACGTAACAAACAAACAAACAAACAATCAAACAAACAAACAAACAATTAAACAAACAAGCAAGCAAACAAGCAGACAAACAGACAGGCAGACAAACAGACAGGCAGACAGACAGACAAACAAACAAACAAACAAAATTATCTTGAAATTATCTGAAATAGCAAACAAACAGCATATCGTTTGCCAGACATCACGAGACTCTTGATCTGCTCCTTGAGATCCCCCAGTTCAAGCTGCTTGTTTCTAATGCTTTCCATTGCCTGTGTCGTTGTGCAACATTCGTTGAGAGGTTATGATTGTAAATAAGATGATGATGTTGTTGTTGATGATGATGACGATGTGGATGATGATGATGATGTGGATGACGATGATGATGTGGATGTTGTTGATGATGACGATGTGGATGATAATGATGATTGGGATGATGATGATGATGATTGGGATGATGATGTAGATGATGACGATGTAATGATGACGACGTCGGTGATAATGCTACCACGCTACGACCACCATTATCATCAGCATTTTCCCCATCACCATCACCCCAAACCCAACCTGGGAGTAAATGAGACTGGTGACGAGAGGGTCTTTACAGATGAATTCCTCTTTATCTTTCGAGAAGAGCCACTTATTGAATGAGATGCATGAGGCCAAGTTGAATGGCTGCTGCTGATTGGTGTACATTTCAAATGGAAGTTCCTCAGGGTACAACTTGCGCTCTGATTGGTCGGTCGATGTTTGTGGTGCGTGATTAGTGGTGAATATGAATGAAAGAAAAAATAAATGATTAAGCGAAAAAATAAATAAATGAATAAATCGATGAATGACCAAATGAAAATGAATTAACAAAAAATTGACTGAACAGTTGAATGGCCGAACAAATGAGCAAACACAAACAAATAAATGAAGGAATGAAAGAATAAATGAATGAATGAATAAATGAAAGAAAGAACGAACGAACGAACGAATGAATGAATGAATAAATGAATGAATGAATGAATGAATGAATGAATGAATGAATGAATGAATGAATGAATGAATGAATGAATGAATGAATGAATGAATGAATGAATGAATGAATGAATGAATGAATGAAAGAACGCCAAAGACACTGACCAAATCCACTTTTTGTTATTTCAAAGAGGGCGAAGAATGGGAGGACATCCGTTCTCAGACACAAGTGGTTTGCTAATTTCTTGAAAGGATTGCAAGTTGGAAACATTCATCGGACAATAACAAATAAAATGATCACCATCCCACCATCCTCTTCATCACCATCCCACCATCATCATCATCACCATCATCTTCATCTCCTTGCTCCTCACATGCACCGACCATGTAAACAGCATCGGTATGATCGTCGGGATTGACTGCCACCTCCATCAGCGACTGATCAGGCATGAGAAATTTCATCATCACCCTCGACTCCATGAAGGCCTCCTCTTCTGCAGCAGTGCAGGATAAAGACGCCGTAGAGGTGCCAGAGGGCGAGAAGGATGACGGCTGGCTGTTTAGCTGGAGGAGGTTCGTAACAGGGCAACAAATCAATGGAGGAAAATGCACTTTAATATGTTAGACTGGGAAAACCATCAGTTAAATATATTGAAGGGCAAGGTGGTAAACAGCAGTTTAGGCGTCTGGCCTTGCTCTCGCAGTGACCGGATTCAAATGCATAGAGATCCCTGCTTATCACGTGCAATCTATGTTGATTCTTGTATTTAAAAGCGCTGTGTGTGTCTGGTAAATATGGTTCTGAAAAATTATTATGAAAAAAATTAAAAATAGCAATTATAATAATGATAATAATAACAATAATAATAATAATAATAATTATATATAATAAGTTTGAATGAATAACAAAAGATAGAGGCCAGATAGAGTGAATGAAATAGGGAGGAATGAGAAACACGAATCATACCGACCAGATTGAGAAACTGTTTCATTGGATCACAATTGAAGACATCTTTGAAAGAACACGCTTTAAAAAGGTAGTAAATGCTGCAATTAACGTTAGCATCATCATTAGCACATCATCACACGTCTACCATCATTATCATAAACTGTTGTTAATTAGAACCCGACTTCGTCATAACCATCAATCCATATAGTCATCCCCATCGTCATTTTTCACCATTAAGCCCCATATTGGGAGATGGTTAAACACGAGGACAGCCTCTCCCAATCACCATCAACCAATCAAACGCAAGCAGACTGTCCCAATCAACCAAGCCCCATAAACGGCAGTGAATGACATCATACCTGACACTAGGAACCTTTCTAAACCCCGCCTCCTGTTGTCCAATTGGACGTCGTTGAGTGGGAAAAATTTCTTTCCGGGCAATGTGAGAAAGTGGACGCTAGGAAAGTGGCTCCTCAAAATTTTCTGCAAGCGATCGAAGCAACTGTATCGTCTGCAACAGATCATGCGGCTGTTCAGGTAGATGTTGAAGACCTGCCAGGCGATCATGGTCATGATGATTACGACCATTGTGATGATGATTGTGACAATGATGATGATGATTGTGATGATGATGGTGATAATGATGATTGTGACGATGATGATGTTAATAATAATGGTAGAAATTTGTTGAGTTAAATAGATAAAAATATAAATTGAAAAATGTGAAAAAGAATCATGAACGTGAAGATGTATTGAATGATGTATGACATACTATCATCTTATGCCGATAAATGCCTGTAAGTTGAGTGTTTGCCGTTAACATTGTCTGAACTTTTTTTAAACTAAAAAACATAATGATGAAGGATGAATTGGATGACTATGATCTTAACAAACATGCAGATGACTTTACACTTCTATACATTTCTTGCTAAGTTTTGTTTCTACATTGGTTTAGTTTCGCTTAGATTTTTATCCATTTAACTCAACAAATTCCTACCACTATCATCATCATCATCACAATCATCATCATTGTCACAATCATTATCACCATTATAAAATGACTATATCATAAAATGATGATCATGATAGAATTTGCGACAACATTGTTGATGGTGACGATGTGCGTGCTGGAAAAACGGAGAAGCATCTCACAATAAACTTATCCCCGTTGTTGTCAGCTTCCTGGTAATCTGGGATGGAGATGAAATGATGCTCTGGATGAAGCTGCTGTTGTTGCTGCAACTGCTGTTGCGGGCTGATATCTTGCATGGTGTAATCATCAGTAACGTTGTTGTTGTTAAAGCTGCTGTTGGTGGCGAGATCTCCAGAAGATGAGCCAACATTTGGTGTTATGACTGACAAAAATTCATAAAATTAATAATTAATTTCGTTTATTTTTTGTTTTATATAAAATAAATTTTGTTAAATAAATAAATAAAAATATTTAATAAACTTTGCAAAAAATTGCGTTTTTTTTAAAAAGTTACTAACAATTATTATTAGTAAATTAATAAAATAATTTAATAATAATATTAACAATAAATTTGAAATATTTCAGCTTGTAGTAGTCACTAACATCATTCAAAATATCAGATAAAAAAACTTACATTAACTTTTTAAGCAACTACATATAGATATTTACAACTTTGAACTAGTAACCAGAGAAGGAATGGGTCCAATCAGTGTTATCTATATCCCGTTTGGTATCTTTTATTATGCCACGATACTCAACCATTCAAACGAATTACTGAGTCAGAAGACACGCAATCAGATTAGAAAACATAAAAGTTGCTATGCCTTGCTATAAAAATCTGTATAAGTGTATGTGGCGGTTGTTTGTTGCTTGCTAACAAGTTACCTACCTGTCAGTTGCAGCAGGTCAACAGTTGATTTCAACATTTCGATGACCATAGAGTGGGAGCAGCCTTCCACATTTTTTCCATTGCTGCACAGTTGAATGAATTTTATTTGAAAAGATTGAAAATTAATGATTCCACTGACTCATTAATTTATTATCATACTAATGCTTCTCAAGTAACCAATGAATTAAATCAAAATTAAACCTTTTTCAATAGTTTAAAGTTTTAAACTTTAGATCTAATAACCACTTATTTTATCAATTTACTGAGAAATATTGTCCATAATGATAAACAACTATAATTAATTTAAATGTAATTTAAATTTTACAGCCAATAGTAATTAACTTTGCAATTAATACAAGTATAAAATAAATAAACTCTTAAAACTAATTTGAAATTTTATAAACAAAGGCAACAAAATGTTTTCGCACATTTCTAAAATTCTGTCTCCAACCAACAGTCCAGATTTATGAGCAGATCCCCGTTCCATGACAGCACTGACGTACTGCAGTGGGGCATACAACTCCCCATTGAGACTTTTCATTGGGCCCCCCTCACTCATTGGACCTCTAACGTTAAACCCAAACCCACATTCGTCACGTGTTATCGTCAGAATGCGGACACCATTGTTCACGGTGGTGGTGGGTGTGTTGTGCTGATGTTGCTGTTGCATGTTGTTGTAGATGTTGTGCAGGTTGACAGCGTTGTTGTCGTTCTCCACGTCGTCCATGTTGTTGTTGTCAACGTCGTCCATTTTATCGTCGCCGGCGTTCTCACTGCTGGCATTGTTGTTGCCTTCCCTCTTTATGAGGCGCAAGTTCCGAATGCTACTGATGATATTTCGGAAATCACTTTTGTTGCTCATTTTAATTAAATTTTATTAAAGTTGGTCTTGTCTTGTTTTTACCATTTGAAAAATTAAAAAAAAGCGACCATTAATTTCTCATGAGTAATGAATACAATTTTTTATTGAATTTAAAATGAGAGGCAAACGAATTCATACTGGCACTTAACAGAACCCATGTAAATGTAAAGTAAACATTCATTGGCCTATATTGGTGTTCGTACAGGTGGGCCTTGAACGATTTTGCACAGGTGTTTCATAATTAAAAGCGCTTAATTGCATTAAAAAGTTTGAGTTTAACAAAAAAACTGGTAGTCAGTTATCTCGTCCTTTTCATGTACGAGTTATTTCCGTTATTGTACGTTTTCAACATTGTACTTATATATATCACCAACAACAAAATAACGTTTAATTTTTAATTTAAATGAATTTTGACTTTCAGCGGTGATTTCGAAAATAGTCGCGGACGCATTTCACAGTTATTGATCTTCGTAAGAAAAAAAATATGCGATTTCACCTGTCTCCTTATCAATCCATATTTAAATATTTAAAATACCATACCCATTGTTTTCCTGTTTTGGTACAAAGTTTTGTATCATGTTTCCAATTTTAAACATTTTAAAGCTTCGAAATAGTTTTATTTTAGAAACTACTAAGATTGTTCAAAATCAAAAGTCAAGCCAAAGTTAAGTGAACCCAACCATTTGAATGAAGAGAGAGATCTATCAAACTAATTGATTATTTGAATTTTATGGAAATTTTAAATGAATAAGGTGTGAAACTATATTACTTACATTTTTGTGAACAAGAACAAGGACTGCCAAAATCGCATGATTGAAGCAATTTTTTGTCCATTTCATAAACGCGTCACTAGTTGCACCCACTTGTCATATTTTGTAAACGATTGAAACTCTCGCCTACAATCAATGGGCAGCCAGAAATAATAATACTTAGCGACAGATATGAAAGTGAAGCTTTTAAAGAAGGGTAATGATAAAATTTGGAGAAATTTTATTACCAGAAAGCTGGTCCAACAAAAGAGACCTTTTCAGTTAAACCGACAAAAGGTCATTGAAATCATGTTTCTGAATAAGAGTCTGAAGAGATGAGCTTCAGTCGCCAGTAGAAAAAGTTAATCACAAATACGTAAGCGAGAAATAAAACATTGATCAGAAATTGAACTGAATTACAATATATGAACTGAACCATGAACCTGAGAAATGTTAGGGTTATGTCATTGGTCATATTTCAGATGGCTGTCAAGCGGATATATCTTTTCACCTTCTTAAATTATAAATAAATAAGTAAGATCAACGACGATGTTGCTTCTAGTTAAGTGTAAAAAAGGAAATAATTCTGCAGAGCAACTTTAGAAATAAAAATGTATTGGAAAGAGTGATCAAATTAAGCCGTGTTCAGAGAAATATTGATGGATAAATTGAAATCAAATGAAAATAACAATCCGAACAAAAACAAAATTATACATATTTTTTTGTTGAAATATTTCAATAGGATAGAAGCAAAATAAATCAAAATAAATGATAAAGTAAAAAATAAAAGGGCCAATAAAAATTTAACTAAATGAAATTATAAATATAAAAAAGAAAAATCATCAGAAGCTTCATAAAGAAACGCAAACAGCAGAACTTCTTTACAAAATTAAATAAAAACAATTGCCATTTATTTCTTTAATTGGAATATAAAATAAGGTCGGCAATTAACAAATCCAAATTCTAGCATAGCTTATCCAAATAGCTGTATAATACTCCAAACGCATAGCAATTGTTTTCAAGACATATCTATTTATGGCTCACGAAAATCATCTTAACAAACAGCACCAAAAAAGTTTTAGGGTATAAAATACCTAATCTAACCAACTAAAGATCAAAACGCCTCATTATATTCGAAGAGGTGTACCGTACATTGCTCTAAAACAAGAAAGTACTCGCCACACAAGAAGTAAATGATGAAAAATTTCAAATTGGAAACTTCGCATAGCAAACATCTTTTCTTAGTTTACCCTTTATTTAATTCACAATCGCTAGAATCTCGCATATATTACATTATATAATACATATGTATGTTGTTCACGCGAATGTTTGATATGCACACAAACACCATTCAAAATTTATACAAAGTACATACACACGGGCACACAAATATAATACACATAGAAATACATTATACGTACGTCATACACCAACAACCATTATGTAACATGTAAGGCTTGTATGACTGATAGTAGGTAACAGGGTGATGAAAATAATCAATGGCGAGAATGATAACGATAATAATAATAATCATAATGAATGATATTTGATATAGATCCATTAAAGTATAAAAAATGAAATACAAGAAAATAAGAAAAGTTGTGAAATTAGCGGAGTAACAAAGAAATGAGATGACTGAAAAGATGGCGACAGATTACAGAACTTCTAACATCCAGAAGGTATTCTATGAAACTTTCAAATAACAAAACTGCAACGACAGAAAGTCTAGTTTGTATCAAATGCACAAAGGGGCGTGTAAAATAAGTACTAAGCAAGTTAATTTATTCAGAGGAAACATCTCTTAGAACAGAATTGTTAACTGAGATAAATTATTTTCCTTATTTAAATCAAATATTTAACTGAAACCTACGACCAAATCTTACATTCATTGTAACAAAACATTTCAATCCGGTACATACTCATTGGAAAGGAAGGACCCATCCAAATTTTTAGGAATTAATCATAGAAATATTAACAGAGAAATTAAATAGAAAAAAGTTTATAAAACAGGTGTAAATGAATTAATTAATTAACAAAAATAATGGACTAAAAAATCTCAGCAGATGTTAGGTATGGAGAACATGTCTCGATGCGATACCAGTAGACAGCACTGTGTCTATTCGTAGCGTTTGAAACCATTCTTGAGTTGTACCTCGCTTCGTAAATCAACAAATTCAGACCAAACAACTCCAAAAATGTGACATCCACCAAATGCGGCGGGCATTTGTAAAAAACTCCAATGCCACCACGGATCTCCCGATAACATCCCACCTTCCCCTGCCTAGTTGAGTTCAGGAATTCCATTGTTGATCGGATTTCTTGCGAGGTCATGCCGCTGAGTCTTAGGCGCTGGATGTCACGGACTGGTACGTACTTACCTGCGTAATTGCGTTGCATGATTTGGCGAGTGAACATAGGCGATCAAGTGAGAGGAAGAGAAAGAACGGAGAGAGAAAGAGAGAGAGAAGTGGGTAAAAAATTATGAAATTATGATTAAAAGATTTTTATTTAGACAAATAATTCAAGATATTAAGTAGGATGGAATTAAGGTGTAAAATGGAGTAAAATGAAGATGACAGCTTGATTGATGACTTCATACCTTCATAGAGAAGTATGGCTTGCAGACATTCACTCATCCTGCGATGATAATTGGCATCTGCCGAGTTGGTCCACTGAAATTTGAGGATGAAGACAGTTCAATTTCATTCATGCGCAAACATCGTTCATAAGTTAGCAAATTAAAAAAAGATGGCGAGAACACCTCATTTATACGACTGTCATAAAGGTGGAATCATTTAAATAATGTGCATAAGATAATCAAATGAAACTGAATATTTCAGTAATAATTCAAGTAGTTTTAAATGAGTTTTTATAACTTTTAAAGTTAGAAATGACAGTTTGTCATAAGATTTTAATGAATATTTTTATAACAGAACAAAACTTTCAAAGTGTAAGTAAAAAAGACGCGTAGGACGATTTTTAAATAGCGTGATGAAAGTATCTAAAGGAATAATTTCAGTGCTTTATTAGAACTGTAAGACCCATTCAAACTCTGACATTGTCATCTGAATATGTCCAACAGCAAATCAACTACAGTGTTAAAAGCTCTTATTTGCAAAACTAAATTAAGAACAGAACAGCCACAAAAATTAAGTCATCAGAGGAAAAAAAACTCTTAGCTGACCAGTGAAGAAGCTGAAAATAATTGAACAATACAATATTATTAAGAATTAGGTAAAAAATATAGATAAACGAGATATTAATTAATTAGTTATTGGGCTATTACAAGAACAGATTAATAACATGCAAGAGTAATAATCATTGGATTAATGATTAATAGGTCAAAACAGATTAATGAATGATTAATGAGTCATTAACATAATTTAATAACATCAATTAAGAGCAACCATTTGAATCATAAGAATAGCAGCGGGTTTGACCATCATGTCTTCGTTGTGGTTCCTTCTCCAGCTCTTGATCAGCATGTTCTGGAAGTCGACCCAGGGTAGATTCGTCGAGGGCACGGGGAACTTTGAGATTGAGACGAGGTTCAATAGAGCACCCTTGCTGTTATTGGTCAGTATATATATGGTGTTTGGCACGTGTAGTAGTATGTTGTTGTGCTTTTGTTGTCATTTTGTTGGTTTGCTATTATGTTAAACTGCTGCATTTGAATGTGCATGTAATGTTTGATATGTAATTTGATATAATAGCTGTTGAGTATTTAAAGTTAGGTATAATGACGATTGGCGTTTATGTTGAGTGGAAAATATGAATAAATACTAATTGTCATTTTATAATTTGTCATCTAAGAGATGAAATTGTCTAATTAAAACTTTAACATTTATCCTCATTAACAACCATCAATACAACAACATTATTCATAACTCTCATCATCAGCAATGCTATCATTGAATTTGTAATACTTATTGTCATTTTCATTTGAGGAGGATGATTCCTCAAACTTGCATAGCTGCAGTTGTTGTTGTTGCTGCTGCTGTTGCTGCTTGAATTTCACTCGACGAATGCTCGTTGCTGAAACATTACAATCGTCAGCCTCTTCCTCACTATTATTACTATTAACATTGCTGTTTCCTTGGCCTTCATCGTCTTTGTCATCATTGACACCACTTTTAATAACAGAACCAACATCATTTTTATCATCCTGAGACGAATCTTTGCTATCATCATGAACATCCTGTTCTGCATCTTTGATCTGATATTTCCTCATGTTGTAATCACTGTTCACATCAGCTTCACCATTTTCATTATCATCATCAACTTTGCTGCCCAGCTTGTCTGCATCACACACATCAACATTTTTATTGAAAGTAGCAATAGCTGTGGCATTGGTAGCTGTAGAAGTGGTAGCTGTAGTAGCAGTAATGGTGGCAGCTGCAGTAGTAGCAGCTGCAACTGATGAAATTTCAGGAAGAGCATCAGGAGGTTCTGTTTTTATTTTCACTGTGGTGTAATCGGTGGCCTTCTCAACAGCATTAGCGTTATTATTGCTGCTATTGTTGTTGTCATCAATATTGTGGTCATTAACATTAAGACAAGGTGTGTCACTGTTGCCAATGTTGAGGTTAAGCACATCACTGGCCTTCCTCTTCCTACTGATGAAATCATAATACAGTCGACAATCGGCAGCTGTCTGATGAAATGCAATTGTGTCATTGGAATAATAGAGAGACGATAGAGATGTAAGTGATCTGTTGTTGTTGCTGCTGTTGCTAATGGTGCTGGTTGTTTTGTCTCGTGTGGAAAACAGATTCAATTTCTTTTTCTTTGAATTCATCTTCTCAAAAACGCTGTTAGATTCAAATTCATTCTGTCGAGCTTTTAATTTATCAGTTAATATCAGTCTTGAGAAAATGTTCTTTTTCTTCACATGCTGACTGACACAATCGTTTGTGGTTGGTGGTGAAGTAAAATCCTGAGGTGCATTTGTACTCCCAGTTGACGTTGGATTATTAGTCTCGGTGACATATGAGTCGTCATTTGAACTAACATTAGCAACTCTTTCACGTTTACTTTTAAAACTCCCATCTTCATCTTCCTCCTCCTCATCTTCTCCATCATTATCTGGAGCAATAACTGTTATAGAGCTTTTTAATGAATAATCATGATCGGGATCTACTCTTTGATTTATATTGCTGTAGCCTTTCGAGAAATCAAAAAAATTTTTTACGAGATTTAGATTAGGGCGACATAGAATATTAACATCTACATCATTGTTGTTTGATTGAGATGAAGATGTTAATTTGAAATGAGGGAAAGAGAGAGCACCTGAATTCCTATCCCCAGCAATGCTAACACTGTTGCTGTGGTTATTAATAACATTACTATTGATATTGCAAGTGTTATTTAAAACACCACCATTGGTCGGATTATCACAGAAGCTTGACAGAGTGTCGTTATTATTGTTAATATTATTGAAACTAAATGGCGATATTTGCGAGTTAGATGTCAACGAAGTACGTGCGCAGTTGATGCTTCCATGATTAGAACTTCTTTGAAAATTTTTATTTTCAACAACACACCCCGGAAGATCAATGTCCTCTTTGACAGTGATTAGTAAAACCTCGTTGTGGTCGATAGTTACACCTACCAGGGCGTCGATTGTGATCTTTGACTTGAAGGACAGCTGAGTTTTGCACAGAGTCCCCAGAGCTTGAGATATCAAATTCTTAATAATTTCTCGATCTTTTGTTACTACAACCATAGTTGCACTGTCAATCTGTCTGTTAAATTAATTAATCATTTTTTATAAACTTACAAAAAACAAAATGACATTACGGCTGAGACCTAACTAAACCACTAATCAATCTCAGACAGTACTCCCACTTCGGGTTTTTACTAAATTTACTTGTTTTGTTTCGCTTTTAGATACAGAGCACAATTAGTGCATAGATAAATTTAGTAGCGCTTGCTTAATTTTAGTTTCTTCAAAATGAAAACTGTCGTTTTAATTATTAAATGTCTATTTTTAATAAATTTTATATAAACTTTATAAAATTTTGTCTGAACATTTATATAAAAAAACAACTATGACTTTAATCTATATTAAACTGAATTACTAGCACATGAAACAATACGATTTATTGCAATTCAAGTGCAATGGCGTTCGATTGTTCATCTATTTCTAGTGCTTAGTTATTTATAAGTTAATAGTACGATTAAAATTCATCATATTATAAATTTAGAAGCACTGAATGTGTTTTCTCACATCCATATAATAATAATCTTAAGTTATAAATCTAGAGTATCAACAAATTTTCCTACTAGTTTCGCTTAGGTATCTTTCAATCTTGTAAAATCTTGTAGGTAATTAATAAGCGTGGCGTCACTCAATACGTCACAAAATATTATGACGACATATTTATACAAAGTGTTAGAAGATGAATGTTTGCAAAATAAGAAATATTGAGAGTCTTAGCGAAAGGTCTCACACTCATTAATGCTACCTTTAGTATTTCTGAGGTCACGCGCTAACAAGCTATAACATGAAAATTTTGAAACAATTCCGACAAAATTTTTAGAATAAAGTCATTATGTATAAGATAATATGCAATTAATAGGGCTTACATGATTACATCTGATCACCTAAGCCCTAAAACTTGATCAATTATTATGCGACTGTACGTTCAAATCTTCATCTCTTTAAACTTGAAACAGAGATCTCAAATTTATGTGATTTGACAGTATCAATCAACTATTTCTAAAATTTTATTAAAAAATTTTAGGAAAAACAATGATATAAATTTAAATAAATATAAACAAATATACAGATAATTTCTAAACGTCTTGCTTATAACACATGACACTTATTGTCAGTAAACATATTGTAATTTGTATTCAATCATTACCACACATTAGGTAAACCTTGCGCTGCCACTCAAAATATTTTATGCGTATTTACGATCCACAAACAAACACTAAATAAACAGTAACATAACGTATGAATTTCAATAAAATCTTGAGAACATAGTAAATATCCAACTTATCCAATTTGTTTGAGAATTATTTATCGTCAGTAGAGTTGATCCGCTAATCGGCTGGCTTGGCAGAATAAACCGCTTTGTTTGTCGGCGGTTGTCGGCGATTAAACTTGGTTTAAGTTGTTAATTTAATCAAATAAACACTAGTTTAGATGGGCAAATGTAATGCTTTCAAAAGAATAACTTGAATGACCATTTATCTCTTTATATGTTAATTAAACAGTTCGTTCATCTGGTGTGAATTCAAGAAATGCTTGTTAAGTCATATTTACAAATCCGACTAGTCCGTTATAACGTCACTAATAATGCCGTGTTGTTAATTGCTGTTCGTTTGTTTATTGTTCAATTTTATATAAATTATTTCATCAAATTAAGAACTGCTTATTAATGATAATTTTGCTTTTTTAGTTCTTGTTTCTTCATGTTGAGGATAGCTTTGTCCACCTGACCTAATTTGCTTACGACTGATGCATCGATGTGTTGTTAAAATTTTTTATGGTATGTTATTGCCATCATTGCTATTGTTTTGATTTTAAATATTTTATTATTATTGATATTTTAACAAAAATTCGAACGCTTATTTAAAATTTTTTATTACTTAAAAATAAAGTTTTTTTAATTCTCCGACCATAAAAATTTGTAAACAAATCTGAAAGCTAAAGGAAAACAACCTTGAAATTTATAGCAACCGATATCAATGAAAGAATTTATGGAATAAACTGCCCATATAAAACAGAAGAAATAGCATCCAACAAATCTCACAATGTTCCTTGTCGATATAAAACTGAACGCCAAAACGAGAAAAATTCTTTCGACATTTTTAACATTCATGAACTTATTGGCAGTGCTCGAAGCCAAAACGGTTTTGCTATGTGGAGTCTACTTGCACATAAAGCACGCCGAACTCTCTGACGTCATAGGAGATGGATTTGCTCTGAAGGCTCTGCCGATTTTAGCGGAGGTGATGGGTGTGATGGGGTTGTGCATCAGTTCATTCGCCGTCTACGTCCTCTTCCGGTGTCGAATCGAATCATATCGGAGGAGAAAGTCCCTTATACCCACCATCGCCACAAATCTGTTAGAAATGAACTTGACTGCTTTTTATTGTAACTTGCTTCAACCTGATAAGAAAATATAAATAAAACCGACATTGGTGATGATTATTAAAAAAATAAAGTTCACTCTAAATAATATTTTGCAACTTTCAAGACTCGTTTTGCTGGCGTTCACTTGGTTAGCTCTGGTGATTTTGACCATGAACGTCTTTTCTTTCCAAGGTGATTCGAGAACCGACATATTAGGATTGAGACTGGAATATATTTTTGAGGTATGCAATTTTGACAATTTTAATTCTTTGACTGAAGTTAATAGTTCGAAAATTTACAAAAAGTTAGCCAAATAGATTATTTAAACAACTTTCGGTTGAATAAAATTAATTCTTTTTTCGATCTCCGACCAATTCAACTTGATTTTTTCCATTCACCTTAAAAACTGCATTCCAATAAGTTTTTAAATTATGTAACACCAGTAAAAGTAATTCATTTCATTCACGTAAGAAAAGCTCTCAATTAAGTTAATTAAATTTAACATTGAATTCTAGGGCGTTATAAGAGAAGCCATGAGATTATACAAAAAAGACGTTGTCGTCAAATCCGCCATCGACCGGATGCAGATGAAACTGGAATGCTGTGGCGAGGACCTATACACTGACTGGCTTCAAGTACCACTTTTCTAATTATTTCTTTATGAATTTTTTAAACTTTCTTAACCATTTTTTTAATTTTTTGTAAAACCAATATATATTAAATTTAATTAGCATTATTGTTTTCAGTTCAAAAAATTAAATCTATTTTTTTAAATTTCCAACGAAACCAGTTAGCCTGGGTCAATGAAAAGTATCTGAGTTCGGAAGAAAACTCAAATTCTTTCACAGGAAGTTTGAATTACGAGAGAGCAGGTTATGAACTTCAGGGAGTTCCATTCAGCTGCTGCGATCTCAACTCCAACAAGCCATGCCACTACAGAGATATTAGGTCGGAGCCGTTTTTCCAAAAGCACGAAGATAAAACATTCACCATCCACGCCAAGGGGTGCAAGTAAGTGGATGCGTTTGAATTAAATATTCGCTTCCAGAAGCAGAAAATATTGTTAACAGTTATTCAATTTTCAGTTTTATTATTTTAATTAATCATGCTCACACACGTCACATCTTATAATATTTTAACAAAAATTAATTATATTTATTCATTTTTGTCTTTAATTTATAAAATCACACCATTGAATTTTTATAATTTAGAAAAATTTAAATATTCAATTTACCAAAAACTCACTTGAATCAGATCAGCCATCAATGCTTACATGTTAGAAACAATAAAAGTATTTGGCTTGGTCGCCATCACAAACGTTGTTTTCAATTTCTCAGCGGCCATCTCGTCCAGATTTTTGATCTACGCCACATTCATCGACGATCCAACTCTTTCATCGGCTGACGGTTCAACACTGACAAGCGCTAAAAATTTTTCTCCATATTCTTCAAAACCGACGACATTTCTAGAAATGTCTATTCGAAAAACACCTTCAAATAGTCGACCAACGAGTCCTAATGCGATCGAAACATCTGCTACTAGGTTCCTAAACAACCAGAGTACCATTCCATTAACGCCATCACCAAATTCGCCAGCAGAATCTCTTGTTAAAAATTTTGGTAGTCCCAATCCATTTTTCGGAACATCGACTGAACCCTTAAAAAATATTCAGAAAAATGTAGGAGCGAATACATGCCGACTACAAAGTCCTCTGCATTCTCCTAACAATATTTTGAACACTGCAATGTTGTCATCACCAACAACCTACATGAACTACCCTCCAAGACAGACTGCCACTGTATATCAAGCACGTTCAACTGCCCCCCCTAGTGCTTTCAATCAAAATTTTTTCCCTCTACTGTCAGCCTTGCCAAATTATTATTGCCAGATGACTTCACCTTATCAGTCGACTCCGCAAAGTTCTAAAAGAAAAGAACTGTTAAGTTTGTGTCCAGACAATTCAACTAGTCCGTACAGTTCTTTGAGGTCAGTGTCACCAGAATTCGTGGCAGACGATGTTTGTACAATTGATAGCGCACGATTGAATCGTTCCAAACAGATATGTGAAGCCAACTGCGGAACTTGCAATATATGCAGGTTTAACTACGGAAATAAAACTGATAATAAACCTCTTTGTTTTGGTTCAGAAGACAAATCTTCTGTTATGTTGCAGTCAAATAAACGCGACGAAGCAACTCGACCACCGATCGCTAACGTTCTAGAACAAAGTAGTCAACAGCTTTTTCCTCAATATCAACAACCTCTATTTAATGCTAAACCTTTAACTGAAATCTCTTCAAATGCAAATTTCTTTCCACCATTTCAACCACTGAATAACGCAACGACTCATCCCACACAACATAATTTGCAGCAGCAACCGCAAACGCAACGATCAAACGTAGTTTCACTTAACGGTGCAAATATAAGCAATTTTCAAAATTCTCCAAGCTTTACGGAGCAACCATTCAATCAGATAAATCTTGCTAGAGCAAATATGAAAAACCCAAGTATGTCAAACTTAGCATCAAACAGTTATTATCAATTTCAGGATTTTGCGTTGCCATCTTCACCATTGAGAAGACCGCAGATTCAACCGTCCGGAACTGTAAATCAAGTTTATTCAGCGCCAAATTTAACATTTTTCAATCCAACAAATGTATCGCCCTTTAAACTAATTGGTCCACGAGTTGAGAACATGCCGTCACAAACCAAAATCAACAACCAGGCTTTTATATCGCAACAAGAGCGACAACTTATAACACAGGAGCCAAGACAATTTTTACCTTCGAGACCTCTTCCACCTTTGCCTAAAATTGAATCTTTCCAAATTTCCAAACCACTAAGTTCCGTTCAAGTTCAAAGTTTTACGTGGAAACAGCCGTCCACAACGTTAGCGGCTGCAGCGGAAAATAGTTTGAGCCCAAAGTTAGAGTTACCTTCTAGAAACGTTAGGCCGGGTCAGAAAATGACGAACAACATCTTCATGCAGCAGCTGTTGTCACCTAACAGGCTAAGATTACCTTCAATTCCCGAACAAAATCTGACGAAACAAAATTTAGTTACACCTGATACAACTTTTTCATCCAGCCAACCTGGACAAACTCAAACAATATCTACATCCACAGTCAAACAGTTAGTAGGTCTTACATCAAGCGTTACACCTTTAAATAAACCACTGTTGCCATTACGACAGCCACTACTGCCTCCTCCACGGCCAGCCGCTCCTAAAACTAACATTTACGCAAATATTGAAATGAAGACACCAAGCGCTATTAACGTAGAATATAACAGAGAATCAGTTATCATGTCTGAAATTTTAAGTTTACCTGATCTATGCGAAACTGAAGTTTCTTCAGATGTCACTAAGGGCAATGTTTTAACGAAAGTTTTGACTACCGCCACCACTACTACTGGTGTTACTACTACTACTACTGCTACTACTACTACTACTATTATTTCTACTACTACTGCAGCGATGACTACCTTCAGTAACGTTTCGACTACAGCAAGGTTATTACCACTAAATGCGACAACGACTGCCAGTTTAACAACTCAAACTACAGTTAAACCCCTTCCGTTTGCAACGTCGTCCAGATTTTTTTCACAGAAAATCGACCGTGCCCCATCTGATATATACACAACTATAAAATCCCCAAGATTTTCAAACTTTGGTACCTACCAAAATAAATTCAGGATGCCGACAGGTAGCGCAAATAGAACAAATGTTACTGACATAGCACCACCAATTTTTACCAGCCCTCACACAGATGTCAGCGCAGGATTGAGACATCCTACAATTCAAACGTCATTTTATGAAAATATCATGCCTCTACCTATATTGAAGCAAGGAATGAAAACAACATCTGAGGTTCCTAGAGTTTGTTTTCAAAACCCGATTAGTAGAAGTTTTAGCCTATCGCCAATACAAAGTTATTCTGTTCATAGGAATATGTCAAATGCACCAAAAAACATGACAGTTAATCAGTCAACGTTTCGTCAGTCTAATTACAATGCTTCAAATGTAACTCATGAAGATTTGTTAAATGATGCGACAACAAAAATAAAATCTGAAATAATGGTTAATAATAATTCCAATGGTTGTGTTAAATGTAAAGACATCCGCTTAAAATTGATAAACAAAAATAATAATAGATCAAGCTCTAACACAGTTTTTAACATTCCTGCAATATTTTTAACAGATAACAAGACTTCTGAAAACAATCCTAATGTGAATAATCACATTTACAAAAACTATGCCAGCAAAATTGCACACAAAACAAATCGTAATAAGTTCAAAGTTTCTAAAAAAGTTAGTACGGTGAACAAACATGTTTCATCTGTACGTAATCTCAATAATCTTACAGATTCGTTAAAAGTTCCTAATAAAAAGTGCACAACAGTCCTGATGGCTAAAAATAAAAAACACATGAAACGCTCAAAAGTAAAAATAAAAAAATCTGGATTGCAAACAAATTCAAAAATGTCAATTGAAATTACAAGCAAGGAAAACTGTCTCAGAAAAGTCGGTGACAAATTTGAACGTCACTCTGATAAAAGTTTTAATCATCTTCACACTCCTGTGCTTTCATCATTTTCTACAACTGAAAGTCTACCAAAAAGTATTGACCAAATAGACAAACCCGAAATATGCATTAAAACAACTCAAGAAATAAAATTAAAATTAAATAAAATTAGTGTAAACGCTAACGGCGACGACCTTGTAAAATTTATACCAACAGTTTGCATCACAAAATGTCAACGCTGCGAAACAGACCACGACGGTGTGGAGTGTACTGAAGAAAACGTGGCTTCAATTGAGCTGACAAAAATGATGGAAGGAAAAAAAAGTCATTATTTAATAGGTGACAAGCTGGTATGTAATAATAACAAAAATCGCAATAGCAACAACAACAATAATGAAACCCGTAATTTTTTAAATTTAGTTGGATGCTTCGACATTGCATCATTGGGCTGTCAGACATCAACGTCTAAAAATATCAAATATATAGCTGAGTTGTCAAACAACACTTTGAACGACGCCTCGCAAAGTTTGAAAATAAGTTCTCCTCACTGCCTTCCCCGGAAGTCTTTCCACAAACTAAGACGTCATAAAACACCGGTCCATGTCGACCAGCCGCAGATTATTGTTCATGAGCAAAATGATTCAGCTAATATTTGTCAGATGTTGAGCCAACTGCAATATAACCGTAGTACAAATGCTCATTTCAACCACAATAAATCACAAAATTACACTTTCGATAATCAAAATGATAATCAAAAATCTCTAAGTAACTACACAAAATTCACAGACAGCGTATCAGACGAAAGCGAAATTTTAAAACTTCTCGCAAAGGGACTGAGCGGTCCAACGGGCGCTGGAGAAGGCCTCCCTACAGAACGTGACTCACTCGATAAAATTATTGAATATTTAGGCGGGTACTCATTAAATGACTTGGCCAGTTCATCTTCATACTCATTAAGCGAATATACAAAAGGCTGCTCAGACATTTTGCATTCTTCCTCTATGTACTTTTACAATCTTTTAACCAATAAATATCCGTGGCTCAGAAGTCGATTAAGTCACAGCGATTATTGTAATAGTCTTCTGAATAGAGGCTTACTTTCTGCACAAAGGTACGATACATGTGCTGGAACAATACTTAACGACTATTTAATTCCAAGAAATATTAGTTATTTGGATCCGAACAACCAACGCCAGGATTTCCGACCTATCTCCGCGTTCACTCCCTTGCATCACTCTATTATACACAACAATCCTCTGCTGTCAGTTAGCAAAATATATTCTCCTCTAACTAGAAGCGATTCAATATGCACGGGCATTAGGACATCCACCCGATATAATCGCTTCTTGGATACGTCATCTCTTTGCTCGTTCAAATATGAGAAATCATGCAACGGCATTCCAACTATTTATACACCGTCAAAAAAACCTGAACTCAATCTCCACTCACCATCATCATGCCCCTCAAAATGTTCCAAATGTAATCACAAATGTTCCAAATGTAATTTAAAATGCACAAACCACATGTGCTCTAATTGCAGATGCAATCGGTGCTGTCAGTGCGATCGGTGCTGTCGGTGCGATCGGTGCTGTCAGTGCGGCTGCTGTTGCAGAAATGAACCAAACGCCGGCTTTATTAGATCTCTCAGAATTAAAAAAATTAATAAACCGCGTTCCCTTGTTTGTGAATCTGTGACAGATATTATTCCGTTAGATGATGTACCAGATATAGAATTATCATCAAATGACGAAGAAATAATTGAAGAATATTCCACTGGAGATGGGGACATTCTACTGGAATTGAACCAATATTGTCCGCTAGATCAAGCTTATATTGATTTAGACAGATATCCATCGGCGGGTGATGGTCAATTAAATTACAAAACTCGTCTTCCGCCAAAAAACAATCGCAAAGCAATTCGAGAACCAACGTTGAGTGATGAATCCGAGTCGGAGTATGCTTACGATAAGTCAAAAGCTATGATTTTAAAAAAAATGACTGAACAATTGATAAAAAATTCTAAAAAAATTCGTAAACGGCTTATTAAATTACCTAAAGTTAAAAAAAGTCAGTTAAAAAATAGAAAACAAGTCGATGCAAAAGAAAATTATCCTTTTATGCCCATCCACCAATCGTATGAAAAAATTTTTCTGAAAGAAAAAGCCTATCTAGAACAAAGGAAAGAGTTGAAACAATTATTTGGTGAATCTTTTGTGACCAAATGGAACAATCCAGAAACCGTGGTTCGACAGTGTTCTTGCACTGGCTTGACGCACGACACTTCACCTTGTTGCGGCTACAAAAGTTTCAAATCTAAGAAGAAAAATTTTGACGAAAGCAACAGCAGCAGTCTTAGTTCCATCAGTAGGCTGAAAAATCAAATAAAAGAAAAAATTGCAAAAAATAAAATAAAAAAAAGTGAGAAAAAAAATAGTTTGGGAAAGAAAAATAACCCTTATCTACCAAAAGAAATAAAAGAAGAAACTGAAGGAAGCAGTTTAAAAAGCAGTATTGTAAGCAGTAATGACAGCAGTATAAAAAGCAGTAACGAAAGCAGTGTTGAAAGCAGCATGGAAAGCAGCAGTGGACAAACAGATGAATCTAAAGGCGAAAAAGACATTGCCAACACAGACACGATTGAAACGAACGATGCTGGACAACAAGGTGATCCTAATTTGAACGGCATAGAAATAAAAAAAACCATAAACAACAGCAACAAATTGAAAAATGTAACCGATCAATCCTCTCACAACATGCCTTCAAATTTCAATTCCCACCAAAACAAAAAAGACAACCGTTCACAGGAAACAGTTCATTTCAACTGCAATAGCTTCAACGCTTCGAAAAAAACCTTTTCCAATCACAATGAATGCGATCTTAACAACAGTACAGCAGGAAATTGTAAATATTGTACGACTTGTCAAGAAAGATCATCAAATAATAGATGTTCTGATTTCGACAAAAATAATTTTACTCCGATTCCAAAACCCAGATCTCTCTCTCCGATGAATAAAATTTTGCTCACCCAACCAAGAAACAGTTCAATTAAAATGTGTGAGAAATGTTGTACACCGAATCCAAAACCAAGAACAACACATTTCAGAAAATCTAAAAACACATCGACCAATTCAAAGATTCCTATTCCAAGTCCAAGAAAAATTTCATTTCAGATTAAAAATAAACACAAAATACTAGAATTAGATGCTACTAAATTCGATCAAAAATTGGTTTCAGCTTCCGCGCCAGATAATTTTTGTAAAAACAAATCTCAAAAAAATCTTATTCCAAAAATTATTGTTTCGTCAACCAAACCAGATAATAAAAATTATTGTCATAATCAGTTGAAGTCAAATAAGTATTCAGTAAAATTAAAAAGTCAATCCATTCCAAAAAATTGTTGCCAACATTGCTGCGAAAATAATTATGCTAAAATGTCTAAATCTTTAAAAATGCCAACAATTATGGTGAACAAAAAAGTCATTAACAACTCTGATAACCAAAAAAAACTTGTAAATAATTCAACGAGGAAAAAATTAGTTCCCTTAAAAATTCCCAAAATATTTGTATCAGGTGATCCGTACTTTGTCGGTACTGGTAAAAATGAGGAATGGAAGACCAGCAAAAAAAGCGTAAATAACGGATGTAATACAAAAATAACAATTTCCAGAAATGTTGGACGTGGAAACATAAACGTAGACAGTGTGGAAAACAAAATTAGTGATTCTCATTCCAAAAGTGATAACGACGCCAGCGACTCAAGCGATGTTGACGAAGGTACTTATCTAACAAACCACACCGAAAACAGTAACGGGACAGGTAGGATCGATGCTGCTGATAAATTAAATTTCAGAATGTACAAAAAAAATAAAAAATTTACTAATTGCACCCGTAAAATAAAAATTGAGAAGCGCAAAAACAAAACCGACCACAAAATCATTCCTGGAAATGAACATATGCAAGAAAATTTAGATGAAAACACCAAATGCAGAGTTAAAAGTTTTTCAGAAAAAAATGAAATTAGACCAAAGGATGAAACGCAGGCGGATTCAAAGTTGTTGAATATAAGCGAGGAAATATTGCAAAGTTTGATGGACAAGAGCTGTAAAACAAGTGAGTGAAGTTATCGACGATGCGACGTGTAAAATACTCATGTAATAATTTTTTTTGCGAAGTTCCAACCTAAATAAAAACAATTGAAATTTCATTGTTTATGCATACAGGTGCTGATATATGCTTATATGTTTTCTTCATTTATGTTTTTCTATGTGGATAAAGTTGTCCATACGAACAAACCGTTGTACAGATGAGACTGACGAGATTTCAACAGAGAGCACGATGACGTCAAGCAGCAGCAAGGACAGTTCCTCAAGCGACACGAGCAGTTTCGGAAGCTGGAGCAGCCATCCTGCGTCGACTCAGCGACCTGGTGACACTTATGATCTCCTCATCAACATTCCACAGCAGTTCCTTCGTCCAGACACCTGTCGTCATCATCATCAGCAGCACGACCAGCGGTAGGGTGGTGGATGTTTGTTGTCACCCTTTCGTCAACCAAACAGGAATAGCAACATTTCAAATCAGTCACAATCAAATTAACAATTACATATGACATCACTGACGTGGAAGGGGCCAACAAGAGATTCAACAAAAAATAGTTGATGCTAGCAACCAGAATAAAAGCAGCGGTGACGATGAATGATGCGATTACGATGATGACGTTTATTACACGAAGAACATTTGATGACATTGACGAGGTTGATGATGACAATGATTATGATGACGACAACGATGATGACGATGGTGATGTTGAAAACTCCTGTAACACAAAGAACAGTGAGAGAATTTGATGCTGTGATGTGCTGAACAATGAAATGAGCGTTGTCAGCACGGTGAGTTTTGATAAATTTTTAAAAAAGCAACCTCATGCATTAGAACGATTAATAACTACAAAATGGGCAGATTAATTGAAGAAAGAATATAATGACGATAATGGTGCCTAGGTGATGACAATTATATTGATGGTGTTTTTTAAACGTTAAGAAACATTTTGTTATGACAAAAGTTTTTTGCCATTCTAATTAGCAAATTTGTTTTTTGATCGTTCAAGTTGTTATTTAAGTTTTAGAATATTAGGAAAATTATTTTCGAAAAAATGTTTTTTAAATGTCTCAGACTTGATGAGATGACAATGAGCGGACGGTTGTTGTACAATTCCAATGATTGTACAACGATTTGTAATTATGATTTCAATTACTTCAACTTCGATCAAATTTCAGAGAGCGTTTGAATCAGGCCAGCGTGCAACGACTACGACGTGAGACAACATTTCTATCATCTGAGCTAACTGGTCGACCAAGTCAAATGTGAATATGCATTTAGTGAGTGTTTGTGTTTGCATGTGCGTAAACAATAGCATTCTTTTTATTAATACAATTTATTTGATATCATTACAGACGGTTCAATTTATTACGTGAATGCTTTTTTGTATGCATGAACGCTGGTCATTGTCCAGTGGTTTATGCGAATGTTCACATTTTGCAATCGGGATTGAATTGTCAATCAACAAACTAGCCAACCAATTGACTGAACATTCAATAAACTAAACAAAACGTTCATCCAAATCACCTTGAAAATCGATAAAAGAATGAACAAACGTATTAAGCAGCCAGCCAACCAAACAACCTACCGGCCAACTCTCGACTGAACAACAAGTCAATTAGACTAACAGCCGATAGACCCACCGACCGACCGACCGTCTAACCAACCAATCAACCATTAATCACTACAGTTGCAGCAAGATATGAATTCGGTAAAATAACAATTATCGGCGACTATCTCATAGCGGAACAAATTTCATTTAGGGAACCCCAATAAATCGCACATACAAGAAATGCACGTGCACATAGACACGTACAAACACACTCACATACGCATGCATGCATCCTTGCACGCATGCAACATTCTCACACTTACAACATTGATTGTCTCATGTTAGGCTGGGATATTCTTGAATCGTATAAAATTTTAACGCTTAATGGCTTTATTTTAACGGGTTTAAGTCTTAAAGCCGTTTCACGCGAACAAATAAATAACGATTATATCATTCAAACAAACAATCTTTAACTTTTTTAATGTAAATATAATTTATCAAATTATTCATCCAATTCATTAATTCGTTTCTTTGTCATTTCTTTTATTTGTTCCTTCATTCAATCAATCACCGCCTCTACCATCAATCTCTTTCCCCATTTTGTGAAAGACGGCTGATAAATAGCGCTCCTCTCAATTATAAGGATGGAAAGATTTGTCGCAGGCGTAAAATTGTTTGTATGTCTGCTTTTGTATGTATGCGTGCAAATTTTTATATGTCATCGCGAGTTCTTAGACTGCTTGTCTGGTTACACGCAACCTATGTGTGTGTGTGTGTGTTTGTGTGGGACATGTGATGAAGGGTATTATTATTTATTCATTCGACTAAATTGATGTTATATGATGTTATGTGATGTTATGTGATGTTATATGATGTTATATGATGTTATGTGATGTTATATGATGTTATGTGATGTTATGTGATGTTATGTGATGTTATATGATGTTATGTGATGTTATGTGATGTTATGTGATGTTATGTGATGTTATGTGATGTTATGTGATGTTATGTGATGTTATGTGATGTTATGTGATGTTATATGATGTTATGTGATGTTATGTGATGTTATATGATGTTATGTGATGTTATGTGATGTTATATGATGTTATGTGATGTTATGTGATGTTATATGATGTTATGTGATGTTATGTGATGTTATATGATGTTATGTGATGTTATGTGATGTTATATGATGTTATGTGATGTTATGTGATGTTATATGATGTTATGTGAGAT